GCATCAAATTAAAACAAGGAGATCTACAGTCTGTGTACCTGACAGCCTCTTTCTCTGTGCGCGAGCTGAGATATCTTTGGACCTGAGCCTGGTTCACTCCATACAGGGACAGCATGAGGAAGACGCCGCCAACTCCCAGAGTCCAAAAGGTATGTCTCTCTGTAGGATCAGGGTTTAGACTGAACAAAAGCGAGAATTTAAGTACAGTACGGAGACATACTTTCACTCTAACAGATTAACATTATCATTGTAATCTGGTCATTCTCCTACACTCCAGTATGGACTCACTCGAGAGCAGAGATGTGGTTTCCTTCATAGACTTTCCTCCAGACTTCAGACACTCCTCCAGTCTGCTGCACTCCCACCACGATGACAGCCAGCTGCCCAGCAAACATCACAACAGTCTGAAAGACGTCTGTCCAGATGACAGCCTTTAACCACCCTGTCAGAAACAGACAACACACAGGAATCAATCTGATACATGTAAATATATTATTCATTCAAATATTAGATATCTGTCTCAGTTTACAGTCATATCATTAATATTTCCACTTTATATTAATGCACAGTATGTCTAAAATAGACATGTGATTCATTCATATTTTTTTTCATTTCTGAGATTAAATATACTGTATTACATTCCTGCCAAAGCCAAATGTAATTCTACAGAATTTCAAGTGGTAAATATTTGTAGAGAGATAAAGTCACTCCTGAGCTGTCAAGAGAGACATGCCACCTTTCATAAGGCCTGTTTAGGTACCAAAACCCCCACAAAAATAAGAGTTGGAAATCATGAGAAAAACTTCATAGTACATTCCAATTTTTAGACAAGCTTTATGAACACAACCCTTAATAACTCACCAGTGTTGTGTACATTGTGCACACTAGTCCAGTGGCCATCACTGCTCCCCATAATTCAAATCCAGTAACTGAAAGAAAACACGGTAACACACTCAACTACAGAGCTATTCAAAATTAATGCGTCACAGTGAAATATTGGAACTTTTTGTACCTGTGTTCAGTGCAAAGGCGGGAGTATACACACACAGTCCCATATAGATAACCTGTAGCCGAGTAAAAGACAAATCAGAGACTATCCACTCTATAAAAAGTCTATAAAATAAAGACCTTGAAGGAAATAAGTAAATGCATCTTTTGTTTTCAAGGCTTTCTTTATGTGGATGCACCAGTCCTTTTTCAATGGATCAGTATCGGGGCAAAACTGACCGACCAGTTCAACTTTTTGAGAAATATGCTTATAATAATAATTATCATCATTTAAATTTATATAGAGCCTTTCATGAAACTCAAGGACACTTTATACATGATATGTTCAGATACAAAAGCACTAAGGGAGTTTCCAGGCTGTGGTGCATTGATGGTGTTTGAGGAGTTTTTTAAAACATGTTCAGGGATGAAGCATTATGAATATCTGCAGGGAGGTATTCCAGAGGGTCAGGGCTGCAATACTGAAGGCTCTGTCCCCTAAGACACACAGTCTGGTGTGGGGAAAGGAGAACAGGCCAGCTTCTGAGGACCAGAAGTTCTGGTGTCGGGTATATGGATGGATATTGAGGAGGTCAGAGGTACTGTGGGGCAAGGGCATGGAGGGATTTGTAGGTGAGAAGGAGGATTTTGTAGTTGATGCTGGACTTGATTGGGAGCCAGTGGAGGTGGATGAAGGTTGGGCTGATGTGCTGCCAGGTCTTGGTGCAGGTGAGACCCTGGTGGCTGAGTTTTAGACAAGCATGTAAAGGGTTTTGCTGGGGATCCCTACAGGACTCAACTGCAATAGTGCAAAGGAGAAGTTATAAAAGCTTGTATTAGGGTTTCTCACGGAGTCAGAGAGTGATGGCCGGAGTCATGAGAGGTTTTTGAGATGGAAAAAGGCGGATTTGGTGATGGTTTTGACATGAGGCTAGAAGAGTCCAGGATGACCCCAAGGTTGCGGAACTGATAGGATGAACAGATGGAGCATGCGTCAGCATCCAGGATCTTCTGGAGCAGCGCTTTGAGAGCCACAATGAGGAGTTCTGTTTTGTTCTCGTTCAGTTTGATTAAGTTTGTTGACATCCAGGTATTGATGTTGTGCAGACAAATATTTGCTTTCTTGCAGAGTTACATGAGAAGATCAGTACCATTCTTATGTTTGTACACTAAATATAATGCTGGAGGCAGCAGCCGGTTATCTTAGCTTAGCATAACAAGCTAGCCTGGCTCTGTCCAAAGATAACTGCACTTGTCCAACAGTCCGGCATATCCCACAGTAAAACCACACCTTCTAAATTCTACGCATTGGTTTTTGTACAGATCAAACAAACAAGTCACAACATGTTAATTAATAAGCTTTAGAGGTGCTTGTAGGTGGATTTAGTTACCTTTGGACAGAGCCAGGCTGGCTGTTTTGCAATGTTTCCAGTCTTTATGATAAGATAAGACAGACTTTATTAATCCCACACTGGGGAAAGTCACTTGTTACAGCAGCTCCAGATACAACACAGAACAGAAAATACTCATTAAATAAAAATAGAATTGAAAAATATTAAATATAATAGAAGAATAAGACATATAAAATACACCTTTTATATTCACAAGTGACTGATGGAAAATTGCACAGGATCGCAAAGTTGCACAGTGTGGATATATAGTATATATATATATATATATATATATATTATATATATATATATATAAAAGCCAGGACCCCAAGCTGGATCAGACGGCACACCACTCCCACTCTCCTGTTCCTGACCAGCACCTGCCGTGGGGTCTCATACTCAAAGAAGAAGTCGGAGAGGGCGTTGGAGATTTTGCTCTTCATCTTCTCTCATCGGCTGTCCCACAGAGGAGGGTCTCTCTCTTCACCCCACTTGCATATAAACACCCAGACTCCACTTTTACCTCCTGGTCACCTCTGTCTGTCTGTCTCTCTGTCTCTCTCTGTCTCTCTGTCTGTCTCTCTCTTGAAGGCATCACACAAAGAGGGTGATTTAAGCCACAAACACCTTATATATAGTGAAGTGGCTTTAGCTTCATGTATACCATACAAACTTGAGTTGTATCATTTTTCTTGTCTAACTCTTAGGTAAAGAAAGCAAATAAGTGTATTTTCCAAAATGTTGAACTATTCCTTTAATAAGGTCATAATCGCCTTCAGATTGATCCTGCATCCCTCGGTATTTGACTCTGTTGAGGTATTCGGGTTGTTATTGAGAGAGGAAAAGCCGGATTGGTGCATCCTCAGTTTATTATGTGAAGTGTTGCACCTACCGTCTGAAAGATGAAGGTCAAAGTTCCACAGATACGCACTGCTTTGTTGAAGCGCAGTTCAAGATACTGTGAAACAAAGCAACATGAGAACTGTAGCTCAAACAGGGATACACAACATAAATATGAACTCATTTAAATCCACTTCAACTGTAAATATAAAACTGCTTTGCCATACCTGGTAGCGCTGGAGAGCCGCAGTCTGTACAGCACCGGAATGAAAACATGAGCAGGAATGATGAGGCCCAGAATGTATGCACAGCCGATGAACCAGTACTGAGTACCGTGAGTGTAGATTTCTGCCGGTACACCTATAATTGCCACAGCAGACTGGAATGAGGCGATGAGCGACAACGAAACTGGAAGACAGTGCATGTTCCTGTCTGCCATCAAAAACTCCTGTGTAGTGCGCTGACGGCCACCCGAAAGAGCATAGTACAGCCCGATGCCCACAGAGGCAGCAAGCAAGAGCACAAATATCACATAGTCTACAGCCGTGAAGTGCTTCTGGTCAGACAGGTCCATCTTAACGGTCTTGAAGTCCCGGCCGCAGCTGGAGGTTTGGTTCTCCTACAGACACACATTCAGATGGATGGAAATGTGTTTGTCCACACCCATCAGTCAGAAGAGTCCAGCAGCCTTGAAGAAAGTACAGCAAATTGAAAACACTGATTAAATACATAGAGAACAAGATTTGATGACATTTAGCCACAATCATTCAAAGCTGTAGCTGTAGTTGTAACTCTGTACAACACTTTTTATGAACAAATCACTTTGCTTAACAGGCAAGGAAATAAACTTAACCCCCCTGCCATGCACTCTCCCCAAGCCATGGATTTCATTGAACTGTTTTTACAGATTTATATTCCTTCCCATACAGACAGTGAGAAGGTGAAATCACTGCTGCCTTACTGTTACCACATAAACATAACCGTTTGCAACAGAAGACAACCTGGTCTGAGGAACGAAACTCAGTGTAGACAAATCAAGGTCACAGAGCCTCTGTTTCAACTTTCCCCTGCTTGAGTTGATCCAAAATACTGACTACTGGTTTGGAAATGGGAGGTTCAAAGGGGAGGTGCCCTGCTACACCACAAAGACAAACAGCAGGAACCAATCTCTGAGGGTTTTGAAGGCCAAAAGCTACAAATGGGTCTATGTCTCAAAAAGAGACAGGAAAAATTATTTAGAAATCATTGTTACTCAAATTATGCAGATATTGTTCGTTGTCTTTACTAATATAAACAGTTTTTTAAAAATCACATTAAAATCCACAGGACACAAATAATTTGAGCTGAAACAAGTAACAGAAAATTTCATCAGCATCTCTTTTGATAATGGAGTAATTTGAGTTTTGAGTCAGTTTTTTATGCTAAAAGTTCCAACTTTTCAAGTGTGATGATTTGATGCTTTTCTTTGTCTTACGTGGTGATAAATTGAATATTTGTAGGCTTTGAACTGTTGAACAAAACAAGTAATTTAAAGACATCACTTTCAAATTAGAAATTGTGATCAGTTTTTGTGATAAACTGCAGTTTTAATTACATAATGATTAATCAAATAGTCTGATTAAGCTTAATGAAAATAATCCTTCTTTTGCAACCCTTTTCATAATAATAATAATAATAATAATGTATTATCACATTCTCATACTAGGGCTACTGCAACTAAATTTATTTTCACTGTGGATTAATAATCGTGGTCTTTAAAACGTCAGAAAATATTGACAAATGCCCTTGGGTCTTCAAATGTCCTGCTCTGTCTGATCAACAGCCCCCACGATATTCAGTATACAGAGATTTAAAACATAAAAAACAACAAATGCTCACATTTGAAAAGCTAGATCCTGAGAATGGTATTTCTGCTTAAAAAACTCAAGATAACTCAATAACCACAATAAGAGCCGATATATTTTCAGTCAACTGACTAATCGGTTCAATTCAAACCCAAACATAACCATAGCAGACAGCACAAAGTACAATAAGGCACCTATAAACTAAGTGTTAAGCCCTGCAGGCTGGAGCAATGCAACACTTAACATGAAGACACTGCTGCTGTAACTTTAGCTGTATTATCTATAAATAAATAGAGCGATTCATCTGCTGATACGGGCTTCCTAGGGAAATTAAGCTACTGCACCCAATGGCCCTCACATCTCTGACAACAAGTGCTTAACTGGACTGAATGTGAATAAAAATGATATTAAAAATAAGAACATGAGGCAGACTCACCTTTACACGCCTGCACTCCTGTTTCCGGCTCACTGTCAATGGCACCATGCTGTTCATTGAGACATTCAAGAGCGCCACGTTACTTGAAAACAACTTGTTTGAATATCTTTGTGGCTAAAAAACAAGAACTGCAGACATTACATTGTGCTCAATCTCTAGACGATGAAATCTCATTTTATTACCTCTTCGTTTGTGCTCATAGAAGTTGTTAAATTAACCTACCACCTCGCTAATCTGTCGGTCCATATGTTTACAAATTGTTTTGATTTTTCTTCCGGGGTTGAAGCTGTTGGGCGGCGCTACAACGAGTGACACAGCAGCCGCCAAAATCAAATAGCCACAACTTGTGATTATCGTCTTCGGTGAAACTACATTATTTAACACTAAATAGAGAGTTGGGAAACATGGAGGGAGCGACTGCGAAAGGTAACCCGGACCGTTGGAAGCTAGCTTACCGGAACTGATAGCTAGCTATTAGCGTATAACGTAGTTTGTTTTGATGCTCCGTTAGCTAATGCTGGCTGAAAAAGGTTGATTAGAGTAATATTCACAATTTTCATTTATGCCCTATAAGAGTTAATATGGGTATTTTTCATCCGATTATCCGCAGGTGTTTTGAGTCACCTGAGTCTGCTGGAAGTTCAGGCAAGAAGCCGCAAAACTCAACCGCAGCAGTCGAGTCGTGCGAAGGAGCTAAAGGCTAGAAGAGAAGCGCTGATGACCCAGAGAGACCAGCTGAGGGCAGAGATACAGACACACAAGGTGGAGGAGTTTCACACCGTTTTCACTAATACTTGTGACTTGTTAACGTTTTTTTTTTTTTAGCGAGATATGATTACAAATAATCACTTTATTAGGTACACTTAGATAAGACTAATGCGACAGCTCTACCTATATCTTCACCAATGATGGGATTTTACTTAACGTTAACGTTACTGCGCTTCAGTACATATTTGAGGTACTTGTACTTGAGTATTTCCATTTTATGCAACTTTGTTTCTACTCCACTAACGTTACATCTCAGAGGCAAAAATTTTATACCACTCCATTTGCTTCTTAAGACAAATATATTTAGATTTTAAATTTGATATTTCATTGCATTTTCTACTTACCTAGTTTCTGTTATTATTTCTATTCCTTAATATCTTATATGCAAAGTGAGTAATTATAACAAAGAATTTCCCCTCGGGGATCAATAAAGTATTTCTCATTATGATCAGTTGATGATCAGTTACTACTTACGTTTAAGATTTAAAATGTTCATACCCTTCCTGGTAAAAACCAGAGATTATCACAAAACATCAGTTGCCGACCTCACTAATGCCACATACCAGAAATGCTGCAAAAACACTTCCCAGAAGAGTGCAGGCTTTCATTGCAGCAAGTTAGAGTAAATTGTGTTGGAATGAGCCGTGCCTCGACTCTCCAGAGTGCTGATGCAGCTCGCTGAGCACACTTTAATGACCTAAAATAAGTCACCCTGTGTATCACTAGCTTTACTGACAATGCTGCACTTTCTTGTGTTTTTAATGTTGGCTGATTCATTGGGGCTGGTTACACTGTCCTGCCACAGAATCTACAGAAACTGAGGGCATCTATGGACAAACAGCATCCACATGAGGAAGAGGGGGAAATGGATGAAGACTCAGAGAACTCGCAACTACTGCGGCTGATGGCCAGACATACACAACTGAAAGACCTCCTATATGCTCATCACATCATTGGTACTAACTGCAAGTTGTTTAATTTACTTATATACTTATATTTATTTTGCTATTTATGATGTTTTCATTAATTTCATCCAAATCTATACATGTCTCTTGTATATCTCATATGTCCAAGTCATTACTCTTCAACCTCTCTGTTTTATTCGCTGATGTCACTAGGTGGTTACAATGTCATAAAGACTCGTCAAGGTAAAGGACTGTGCGTGTCTCTGGCAACGGCCTACGAGGGCGTCTACTTAGAAACCTACAACCTAGAGATGGACCTGAAGCCAACGCTGAGAATCAGTCGTCACAACATTCCCCCGTTCATTCCCTTGAACAGGCTGGCTGAACAGAACAACATGCAGAAAGACATGAGGATGTTTCTGGATACCCTCAACCAACATCTCAACGCCTTTGCCGGTCGCAAGCAGCAGTTGAAGTTTGTGAAGGTGCCCAACTTTGCTTTTTTTTTGTGTTAAATAATATCTCATAATATGTCTTAAGGAAGTCGTTTGTCAGTGGTTGTGGAAGTGTCTGGATGTCATCTTTAGTATACAACAATTAGACCAAGGTGGGATTCTGTACAGGCCTTTTTTTCATCAGGTGTGATCAAAGATGAAAGTTGCAGTAAATATAATGTGCATTAGAAGAACAACAATTAATCGATCAGTTAGTCCAACTGGCAACCATTTTAATAATTGACTAATTGTTTACGTTTCTAAAGCACAAATAACAAAACTTCATTGGTTCTAGCTTTCCAAATGTTTCATGGATTTGTCGTCTTCTTATCTATAATAGTAAACTGAATATATCTGGACTGTGTGTAAGAAAAGACAAGTAATTTAAATATTTCCACTTGGGCTCTGAACAATTGTGATGGGCGTTTTGTACCATTGTCTTACATTATATAGACTAAAAGAGTCAATGAGAAAACAATCAATAGATTAATCAACAATGACATAAATCGTTGAGAATTGTTGAAATGTTATAAATTAATAAATGTACTAAAGTTCAATTAAGAAAGGGGGGTAAAAGCAGCCTATAAAACATTTGTGCTACAATTTAATTTTACAGTTCTGATAACACACTGTTTATGATACTAATAGATCTGTCATAACACCAACATATCAAACACTCAGATAACATACTTTTGTATTATGGTGTAGTGCAGTAAAAGTCTTTTTTCTTTTTTTGCACATTTCTTAACAGATGAACAAAGTGCAAGAAATTAAATGGTTCTTTACATTATATTCAAGGCTTTGATAATCTCTCATAGACAGATGACTAGCGTGTAAACGACATACACTTGCTCTGGTAGAATAACCCTGTCCTCGTGCTTCTTTATAGGAACTCCATACGTCCGTGGAAGTGATGGAGAGCAATGCTTTGTGTTCAATATTGGTGATGATGTTCACTGTGCCTAGAGAGAAGACGCCTGTTCTCTGCACGCTTGACTACACCGACCACACCAGATGTCTTCCCACACGGGTCCACTTTGACTGTGAAGGTAGAGGTTTTTATACTGCAGAAGTTTCCCAACTCAGACAGATAGCTATGTGCTGTATCTGTGCCAATATAATCCATAACACAAGGAGGTTAGGGTTAGACGCCTACCTGTAGACGCAGTGATGGAGGGTAGAACTAAACATTAATTTTTACACTCACACATAAATCTAAACTGTGTTCACATCAGCCTCTGTGTGTGTTTTACAACATGCACTGAATATTAGGCCACTGACAGAAAGATAGTCAATCATTCATATCCTTTGGTTTTTGACTGTTTGGACATCATTTGCACTTGTGAAATTGTTATGTGCATTTTTCACTAGTTTATAGAAAAGGAAAGAAACGAGAAATCCCATATTCAGAAAATCATTTTGATCATTGTAAAATGACTTCAAGGAAGGGTCTCAGGAGAGAAACGTATTTAATAAAGTGGCCAACAGTGTACGGGCCTTTATTTTACATTGAGAGTTTTTATCCAATGTACCTGTCTGTATGGTTTGCAAGAACAATTACCCTACTTTAAATAAACTAAACAATTAATTCATACATTGACAATTTGAAGAGGGAACAAAAGAATAGATTGTGCAATAATAAAAAACAATCACTTCAGCCCCAAATTACACAACAGCATTTGGAACATAAGAGGATGAATTAAAAACCTGTTGGTTTTTCAATAATAAAGTGATAAATTGATGTCTTTGCAGACAGGGAAGCTGCGTAGATTCCGGTCAGGAAATATTGAAGTTTACATATTCAAATGGAGAATATTTCCATATACAGTGGGGCCAAAAAGTATTTAGTCAGTCACTGTGCAAGTTCTCTTACTTAGAAATATGAGAGAGGTCTATAATTTTCATCATAGGTACACTTCAACTATGAGAGACAAAATGAGGGAAAAAAATCACATTGTAGGATTTTTAAAGAATTTGTTTGTAAATTATGGTGGAAAATAAGTATTTGGTCACCCACAAACAAGCAGGATTTCTGGCTCTCTCAGACCTGTAATTTCTTTAAGAAGCTCTTCTATCCTCCACTCGTTACCTGTATTAATGGGACCTGTTTGAACTCGTTATCTGTATAAAAGACACCTGTTTGAACTCGTTATCTGTATAATAGACACCTGTCCACAGCCTCAAACAGTCAGACTCCAAACTCAACCATGGCCAAGACTAAAGAACTGTCAAAGGACACCAGGGAGAAAATTGTAGACCTGCTCCCAGCTGGGATGAGTGAATCTACAATAGGCAAGCAGGTTGGTGTGAATAAATCAACTGTGGGAGCAATTGTAAGAAAATGGAAGACATACAAGACCATTGATAATCTCCCTCGATCTGGGGCTCCACGCAAGATCTCACCCCGTGGGGTCAAAATGATCATGAGAACGGTGAGCAAAAATCCCAGAACTACATGGAGGGACCTGATGAATGACCTGCAGAGAGCTGGGACCAAAGTAACAATGGCTACCATCAGTAACGCACTATGCCGAGCGGGACTCAAATCCTGCAGTGCCAGCTGTGTCCCCCTGCTTAAGCCAATACATGTCCAGGCCCGTCTGAAGTTTGCCAGAGAGCATATGGCTGATCCAGAAGAGGACTGGGAGAATATCATGTGGTCAGATGAAACCAAAATAGAACTCTTTGGTAAAAACTCAACTCGTCATGTTTGGAGGAAGAAGAATGCAGAGTTGCATCCCAAGAACACCATACCTACTGTGAAGCATGGGGGAGAAAACATCATGCTTTGGGACTGTTCTTTCTTCTGCAAAGGGGACGGGAAAACTGATCCGTGTTAAGGGAAGAATGAACGGGGCCGTGTATCGTGAGATTTTTAAGCCAAAACCTCCATCAGTGAGAGCCTTGAAGATGGAACGTGGCTGGGTCTTCCAGCATGACAATGATCCCAAACACACCGCTCGGGCAACAAAGGAGTGGCTCCGTTAAAAAGCATTTCAAGGTCCTGGAGTGGCCTAGCCAGTCTCCAGACCTCAACCCCATAGAAAATTTGTGGAGGGAGTTGACGGTCCGTGTTGCCCAGCGACAGACCCAAAACATCACTGCTCTAGAGGAGATCTGCATGGAGGAATGGGCCAACATACCAGCTACAGTGTGTTCAAACCTGGTGAAGACTTACAGGAAACGTTTGACCTTTGTCATTGCCAACAAAGGTTATGTTATAAAGTATTGAGTTGAACTTTTGTTATTGACAAAATATTTATTTTCTATCATAACTTACTACAAATAAATTCTTTTAAATAAATCCTGAGTGATTTCCTGAATTTTTAACTCTTTCTCATTTTGTCTCATAGTTGAAGTGTACCTATGATCAAAATGACAGACCTCATCTTTCTAAGTAGGATAACTTGCACAATCAGTGGGTGACTAATACTTTTTGGCCCCACTGTAACAAATATGCTAGTGCTGGTAATATGCAGTAACATTTTGTTGTAATATTGACTTTGTTTGCAGACAAGGAGCTCTCTCATTCTCCAGAGTGGAAGAAAAACTGCAGCCTACTCCAGCAGACTCCTGTGCACAAAGCTTTGATAACCATGAGGAAGATGGGGAATATTGTGTAAAATAGTGAGACTGGGGGGGGGGAGGTGTACATTCCCATTGTTTATAATAAAACTTTTTTTCTTAATGTTGAGGTATTAAACTGCAAATAGAAACTGTCGAGTTTCTCTATGGGGGTTCCACAAGGATTTGCATGGTGCTTTTGTCCTTGAGTTGTTCTACGAATGCCGCCACCCTGCTGTGTAAAGTTTCACTCTGAAACTGTCTCAGCCGCTCCATTTCCTCTCGGGCTTTCTGCTGTTGCCTGGCCAGCTCTTTTTCTGAGATTGAGTCAATAGTCGCAATGTTTTTCATTTGCATGAGAGAAAGGCTGCTCTGGATGTTGCCCCTGTGTCTCACTGAGCTGGTGGGTTTGACTGATGGCAGTGGTGCTGATGTCGACCGACTCTGTTCCACCAGTTCTGATCCTTTGTCGTAATACTGGGATTTGCTGGAATACAATCTCCTGCCATGAGAGGTTTTAATATCTCTAAAGTGTGTCTCTGCATTATTGTGCTCTCCGATTTCTTTCATAGCGATGTTGACCGTAGCTTTAGGCTCACAGACTTTTACCATCACAACTCTTCTCTGTTCATTTATCAGCAAGTCTCTTCTTTGTTGAAGCATTTTGCAAGTGTACCTGTACTGTTTGTCCAGCATGTTTAGTTTATGCTGGAGATCCCTGTCCTCCTTTTGGTTCAACACTCTCAGATCTCTCTGCAGCACACCAGCTCTTCTGAGACTTTCATCCATTATATACAAAGGCTTGAGAGAGAAATATGTTTTTGAGTACATTTCTTTCTCCAATTTAGTCACTTTTTCTTTAAATTAAAGCGACAAATGTCATTTGCCTACCTGATTTGTGTGCAAAGTCCCCCAGAGCGATGTGTTACACAGGTGTTTGCTGCTATGGCTGCAATATAAAAGCCTATTATATTAGAAGTAAAGTGGTTGGGGCTGTTAGTCATTGTGTACTGTCACATTTCCTAGAGATTCAATTTCAAGGTGGTGTGCAGTCACCGGGCTTCTCGCAACTTGTGCAAATTAACCAATGACAATGACTCCCTTTGTGAAAAGTACTTCCATCACGTGTTTTGTCTCATGTTATGGAGGTCTAGTGCTTTGGGGAAGAATGAATAAAGAATTACTTTCTCACATGAATTTTCACTGTTAAGTGAGTTGTATGTTATACTATAGGTTGTGCTGATAAGTGCTGGAATATTTTTTATTATGATAAAAAATTATGTTGTAATTATGAAATATAAAATATTTGCCTAAACCATCATAATAATGTTTTTACAGCAGGGGAGGCCTTATTTATTTATTTATTTATTTATTTATTTATATATAAACTGTAATGGTAAACCACTACACATACAAACACAAGGGAGAGTCTCAGAAGAATATGTTGAACCAGAACTGCATTTTAACCCTTTAATCAGGCCTGTGTATGCTGTGATTATTTTCTGGTTGTCTTCTATCATAGTAAACTGACCTTTTGAGGTTTTAGACTGCTGGCTGGGCAAAACAAGACATTTGAAGAAGTTGATGTGGGCTTGTAAAGGCCAGAGGTGAAGAAGTACTCAGAATCAGAAATACTTATTGATCCTCGAGGGGAAATTCCTTTCTCACAATTGCTCAGCTTGCATGTCAAGGAACAGAAATGATAATAAAGAAGGAAATATCTCAAATAATATGTACAGTATTAACAGAAATAGCATGATGGGTAGTAGTAGAGTATTCAAACAGAAAATATTGAAAGATGTTGTATTTAAGTCAAACTAGCAATACCCACAGTGTAAAAATACATTACAATACACACGTCTAAAGTAAAAGTTGTGCATTTCAATTTTACTTGCATCAAAGTACAAGAGTAGCCTATTTGCATCATAATATACTGAAAGTAGTAAAAGTACTCAGAATAATGTTTATTATATTTGATTTTAATTATTGATGTATGTATGTGTTCATCATTGTAATGTTGCAGTTAAATAAATATAAAAGGTGGCGCTAATTTAAATTATTTTACTTTATAAGAGCTGTATGGGTAGCCTGTCATTCCCCTCCATCAATGAAGATTTATCTTTTAATAATTTAGAATTTTAATTTGTGGATTACTTTGTGTATTATTAATCAGATTCTGCAAATTAGCCTAGTGGAGTAAAAAGTACCATATTTCCTTTTGAACCATAGAGGAGCAGAAGTATAAAGTAGCAGAAAACAGAAATACTAAAATAAAGTACAACCACCTGAAAATTATACTAAAGTACGGTACTTGAGTAAATGTACTTCATTAGCCTACTTTCCACAAAAGGTAATGGTAATTTTGAACTATTTGCTGACATTAAATGTAATAAAGGATTGAATGAAAAAGATTAAATATTAATTATAGTTAGTTACAAGACCAATCCTTTAATTTTACTTTTATTTAACTTGTTTTGCCAGAAAAGTCACATTTAAGAATAATATTGGCTTTAAATTAAGGACATGGCCTCAGTGGTCCTATTGATGATTACAATTTAAACAGTATTGTGCAGTATATTCCTTTAAACTGCCAGGTCATATGCCAGAAACCCGCCCACCTGGTTGTCTGATCCCTCCCGCGCTGGACGAAAGTTAGGCTTCTTGTCTGGAAGATGGCACAAAACCTCATTCATTCATCTCAAAGTTGATGCACTGTTGACATCGTCTGCTGGTAAGTACATTTACCTTTAATGCTTGAACATAAATTAAAGATAACAGAGCGATTCACGGTGAAATTGGCAGCTATATTATTAACGTGTGTATTTTCTTCTAGTCGAACTTTATAACACTATCAAACTTGTCGACGCTTTAACCAAACATACTTTTTCCTTAATGCACAAGAACATACCCTGACCTTTTGACCTACAGCGCAGGCGCTCAACGTAACAGATCATTACGTATAACGTAATCGTGGGACTTCACTGACCCGCTGTCATTTCACTACTGAACTCTGTAACACCAGCGTCCCCTTCTCTCTTTTACTTCCTCTTGTGGTGTTTTTAGTCCTTCTTCTTTCTGTTTCTTCTCCTAAATAGTTTTGTTATTCTTCACACCCGTGTTCACTACACAGCTAAGCTCTCTGGGCTTGCTAGCTACATGTTTTAGCTCTGCTCCATGTACTGAAATACCAAATGGCCCATAATTTGTCTCCATCTATGGGTACATGCTTTTTAAATTATAAAGTAATAGTAATGGTATTTTTTTTAACCATATTTAGCTATGCAGATAGTTTTTGTGCCTACAGGGTTGGAGATACCTGCCTCTGAGTTTATTGGCACTGCTTAAAGAGGATACACTAACTTATTTTTAACATCACATAGATTCTTGTTGGCATATGAACAACAACGAAACTCATATTGTCAAGGTTGTACAGGAGGCTGGCAAGATGGAAAGGACTAAATGTTGACAGGAGGCCAGCAGGAAGACTTGAGTGATTTATTGAACATTATTGTAACAGATGAACATAAAAATACAATGCAACTAAGACAAACTGACAGGGAGTGAAAAAAATGGGCTGGGTAAATATCTGGAGGACTGATGAGTAGTGTGGGCAGGTGGGCAGGGAACATTGGGTAACTGCAGGGCGGATGAGAGAAATGGGAACAGGTCAGTTGATGGATGGGGCAATCAGATGATTGGGAAATAAGGGAAAGTCTTAGGGCACCTGGTAGATGGATGGGAAATGACAATGACAATTTTTTTTTCCTATCAAGTTTTTCTTATTTTTCTTTTACAATCAAATCACAGTTGCCTCTGCTGGGACTATCAAATGCATCACATCCTGCACACTGGAAGATTTTTACTGGGACACACCTACCAGACAGTGAGTGTTAGCAAAAGGAAAAGCTTTTATAACGTGGCTATAGGTTAAATTAATGATGTGTTAACCAGCTTTAGACTACCAAGTCAGGCATTTGTTTCATGACTAAATTATAGATTTTAAACATTTTTTCCTTCCTCCTATCGGCCTGGAACAAGTGTTGCTCTAGCTTTGCCAAGATGATGCGGGCAGTGTGTGTTGACGTACCAGGAGGACCAGAGAATTTGCTGCTGCGAACTGTCCCTAGACCTCAACCTAAAGATGGAGAAGTTCTAATTAAAGTTCATGCAACTGCCCTCAACAGGGCAGACTTACTGCAGGTATAGTACAGTATACATTCTTGCAAAGGATAAGTACACTATAATCTCCTTGATATACATATGTTTTTCTGCTAAATGTGATTATCTTACATGTGATGTGTCAACATGTTTTGTACATAAATAGTAAAGTCCTGATTATGGAACGATCTCGGCTCATATTCTTTATTTTTTTTCCCCCATAGAGGCGAGGACTGTACCCACCTCCCCCAGGTGAGAGTGACATCATAGGCCTGGAGGTGGCTGGTACTGTGGATACTCTGGGCTCAGTGGTGAAAAGAGGCTGGAAGCCAGACGACAGGGTCATGGCTTTGCTCTGTGGAGGAGGATATGCAGAATATGTTGCTGTGCCTGAGGAGCTTCTTATGCCCATTCCCCCTAATTTGACACACAGCCAGGCTGCTGCGATCCCGGAGGCCTGGCTCACTGCTTTTCAGCTTCTAGTTTTCATAGGTACAGCAACCATGTTTGTTATTTATAATAATATATTTATCTTGCTGCATCATTATAATCCATATATTTGTTTTCTTGGTGGCAACAACACACTACTGTACCACCATCTCATTATTTATAATCCTTGTCTCTGTGTATTTCTTTTTTCTATTCTTTTTATCTTATTGGAGTTATGTTTTTTTATTTTATGCATGAAGCACTTTGTATTTTTGTTTTAATAATATCCATAAATATAAAGAATTCATAGTAATAATAATATCTTATTAAATTGTTAAATTCCTGGAAAAATAAAATGTGGTGCTCTAAACAAGTTAAAACTAAACTAAAATTACAAGTTTATCCAGAAGAATAAATTTAAAGATGGTGAAGCATTTTTCTATTTGTTTCCGCTTAATTTTATACAACCCCAAAGAACCCTATAATTAAAAATATTGAACTCTGCACTTGTATCTTGCAATCTGTCTTCTCTGCCACAGCTCAGGTGAAGGAGGGTGAGGTAGTGTTGGCTCATGCTGGAGCCAGCGGAGTTGGAACGGCTGCTGTTCAGCTGGTTCGTCTGTTTGGTGCCGTGCCCATTGTTACTGCAGGGAGCCCAGAGAAGCTGAAGATGACTGAGAATCTGGGAGCAGCAGCTGGGTTTAACTACAAAGAGGAGAGCTTTGTGCAGGGAGTTCATAACTTTACAGGAGGTGAATTGGGTAGCGGTATAGACAGTTCACTGTGTCGCAGGTTACAGGGCTAATTAGTCATTGCTGTAATGTGTTTGTATTGTTCTTATTAGTGATCTATCAAACTAAGTGCTATCATTGGATTTTCATACACACAGTCATAGTAGCAGTCACTGCTTATGATAACTACATTTCTCTTTGTTCCAAACCATTTGTTAATGGAAATGTAAAACACTTTATGTACACCAGAGGATTCAGGTGAGCAAAGACATGTTTAAAAATCTAAATAGAGCTTGTTAAAATTTAAAGGATTATTCCATATAGTTCTTACTGTCACCAAGTCCATATCTCTGGTCTTTCTGACCTCCCTTCCCTGTCTGTGGCCCATTTGTTTCTACTGAAAATCACAAAGTCACAAATTAAATATGTTATTATTTTTTAAAAGGTTAAGTATTTTCCTAAAACAGCTGGACACTGTAGTTTTATAGTACTAAAGCAGGAGTAAATACTGCATTTGTTGGTTAGGTTACTTTATTTCTACCTGTAGGTAGATTTGTTTTGCAGCAAGAATATGACACATCCATTTTGGGGACTATTTTCAGCCAGGGATGAATACACATTTGATGCACTATTGTATTTACAGCAGCAGGATGGTGCATGTGAGATTCTCTCAAGATAAACTAGTGTGTGCCTGCATGGTAATGAGGGAACAGGTAAGCCAGTGCAACAGTTTTTAATTGTTTTTGGGCAACAATGGAGCTCAATGACAAAATAGAGAAATAACATCTGCCGGGCTTCGGATACACACACAACACATGTTCAGGCTCAAATCATAGTAGGTTTTGTTCTTTTCATGGGACTTGTTGACAATTTAGAATATCATCACTCGTGCTTTTATGTGTAGTAAATAACTAAAAATGTACACACACAGATAACGTATAATAACTTTTAATAGATGGCTATATCACTGCTGATGAACTAAAACAAAGAAGAAAAAGTGTGATCCACTTGGAGGTTAGGGTCAAATTCGAGGCTGCAGATTAAATATTTCGTTACGTTGTATAACTAATAACTGTAATTTCACAGGCAGGGGGGCAAATGTCATCCTTGACTGCATCGGTGGGCGTAACTGGGAGCAAAATGTGAGCTCCTTAGCCACCGATGGCAAGTGGGTGCTGTACGGCACGATGGGAGGCAGGACAGTAGAGGGAGACCTGCTAGGCAAACTGCTCTCCAAGCGAGGCCACTTGCTCACCAGCCTCCTCCGCTCTCGCAGCCTTCAGGTGAGAATTCAAACCAAACAGAAATGACACACCAGCTGTGTTTCTCCATCTCTGCATGTGAACATGCTGAGTCTCGGGAAGTGAAAATTCAACAGTGCTGAACTTCCTTGTTCACTCTGTCTGGTTTTCCAAAATGAGGCAATTTGCATGTTCGTTTTCACACTTTGAAACCGCTTTGAATTTCCCCTTCACAGTACAAAGCCGACCTGGTGGAGGATTTCTCTCGCAGAGTGTTACCGTATTTCTCAGACCAGCCAGCCTCCTTGAGGCCAGTGATTGACAGCACATTCAACCTGGAGGACATTGCAGAAGCTCACAGGCACATGGAGGCCAACAAGAACATGGGGAAGATTATCATTAATGTGATTCCACAGAATCAGGAAACTCAGTGATAAACAGTTGCAGAAATATTAACAGAAACGTACATTCATGTCAAGGAATCTTCCAACAGTGTTATTTGTTTTACACAAATGTTGATCTTAAATATGCTTTATCCACCAATAGTCTGAAGATGATTTTCTTTACAGTGCTGTTACTTCTGTAGAGTCAAAATAGGGATAATTGACACAGGATTACGAAATGTTCATTAACAGTATTGTGTTCATGCTGGAGATTAAAGAGAGGTGCTGTAAATCTTTCCAAACCACAGTGACTTTCCTCTTCACAAATATCAGACAAAATACTATTACATAGAAAACCCTTGAAATAAATGTGTGGTAAAAGCAGGGCTTTTTCCCCTTATCTAACATAATCAAACGTAAATTGACTAATTTAATAAAGGCACACTAGCAAAATATTACAGAATGATCTACACTCCCCAGTCTGTAGGACACCAGAAGGTGCAAAATGGCTGCCCACCGCTCCTAATTAGGATAGGTTAAATGCAGAGAATGAATTTCACATGCATTGTTCTGTGTATAATTGTATGTGGCAACTAAAGTTAATTATTATTATTATTAGTGTGAAGGATGCTCATCACCCAGCAATTTTATTCCAGCTTCTACCTTCAGCCAAATGCTTCTGTAGCCATGAATCCAAGATGCAAACAGAATATTGAAATCTGTGTTTTAACCTCTTAAAAAGCAAAAGCAGAAAGGTTTTATTGGATTGCAATAAACTGTGTTCCTAATATGGTGGCCACAGAGTGTAGGCCATCATGAATGGGGCCATTTGGCATAACGGCTACTTTTGATACTTTAAGTACATTTAGTTGATTATACTTCTGTGATTTTGGGGATTTTGAATCTAGGACTTTTACTTTTGTTGTAATGGAGAATTTTTATACTGTAGTGTTACTAATTTTACTTAAGTAGGGCATTTAAATACTTGTGCCCAAGGGCGCCACTTTGTGTTGAAAGGTGCTGGGGACATAGGGCTCCACTTAGGAGTATGACAATGCACTTAGCTCACAAGCTGTGAGGAGTGTTGGGTTCATGAGAAGAAGACGAGATGATATTTTAACACTATTTTAAGGAAATATTTAATGCTGAAATATAACAGTGGGGGCCTGTGGATACTCCCCCTAAAGACTTTCTTTATCAATTCATAGTTAAAATGTCTTTATTAATATAAAGGGAAACACAAAATTCAGATAGCAGGTGACAATTCAAAATATAAAAATGGAATATAATGTAGTTATCAGTAATTTTTCTTGTTGCAATCTTTGTTTCAGAACATTTATTTTTTTTAACAAATGCTTTCAAAAAGGGGTGGGGACATGTCCGCAGCGTCCTCAGTGCAAATGACACCTATGCTTCTTCCACCTTTGATTAGTAGATAGGCCAATAGTTATAATTAGTAATAAAAAGTTATTAGTGATGTAAGAATTAGCAATACTTAAACAAAAAATTGTACATTGAAACAGAAAAAATATGCAGTAATACTATGATACACATAACCTTACTCCTTTTTATTTAATTATTCATTATTAAAATACTTCCTGCTTATTTGAAACGCAGCTGCGCGCGCAAACTCATCAATGACGTATGAGGATTCCTTCCTGTTCAAACTTCCTGATTCACCGCTGCGGCTCCTCTGAAGAGTTTTCCCAGATTCATGATGAAATAAGTTTCAACAGAAGAAACCAACTGTATTTCATGGAACAAACTTTAAGACAGCCAACAGACACACTTCGGACTCTATGATTCGACCAAAAACAACGACATTAATTAATCCAGTACGTAAGATTTAACTTTGTCTTGCAGCCCGGCTAAAGTTAGCTAAGTCAGTTAGCAGTTTGTCTTGTTACCCCGCAGGGTTTAACATGAACTGAGGAAACGTTTATCCAAACAAACCCAGTTAAATATATACAATTTGTGTATTTTCTTCTTAACAAACAGACAGTAGTTACGCGGTTAGTATTATGGGCTGTATGGACTTAAAGCCGGCTTTATGTCACGTTTATAGTTGTTTACTTAACCACTTCCACCGAATTTACGAGCTGTTACTTATCTGTTATCTGTAACGTTACTCAGGAAGTGATACTAGGAAGTATTTGCGTTTTTTTATGTCACAGCCGCCAAATCCTGAAACATGGAGGACCCAAACATACAGCGTAAGATGTCAACAGCAGGAGAAAGCCTGTACAAAGTCCTGGGCCTGGAGAAAGGAGCATCTCCAGAAGAAATAAAAAAGGCATACAGGTGTGTTCATAAAGATCAATTAATCTGTCCATTTAGAGTTGAGCAAATTTATTACATATTAGGCTAAGTCGTAAGTACATGTTCTTCCATTAGTTGATTTATTAATTTGGTCTGTAACATGTCAGAAAGGGTGATATATTTAAGTTGCTTGTTTTGATTGACAAGCAGTTTAAAACCCAAAGATGTTCAGTTCACAATGATACAAACAGGACCGTAGCCTGGATTTAGATATAAGGTCCGTGGAAAATCTCCAGAGGTGCCACCAACTCCACCGATAACTTTTGTGACGTAGTATTTTCATTTTATTAATTGACTTACTGTTCAGTTTATTTAGTTTTATCCTCCACACTGCCACGATATACAGTAATTCTGGATAGAGTAATACTAAATACATTTACGTAACTTGACTCTTTCTGTAGGAAAACACATTTAAACACCAGCTTAGAACCTGCCAAAACCCACTCTGTGTAATGTGTACCACAAAACTTAAATTAATAGCCCAGGCGTGAACTCTTGTGTCTGAATGGGACAGGCCTTTCTTTGCCATGCCGGTAAATCTGAATGAATAATACATTGGTGTTCATTGTTTCCGTAAAAAATGGACTAAATAGTTGAATTGTGGAGAATCTAACTGATCTTATTATGTGTAGCATGTCCATATTGACAAAAGTTTAAACATTTGTTATTAGTATGTATGACCTAAGCAGCTTAGAACTAGCTCAAGCAGGTGACCGCTGGACAAGTTTATACATCCATAGAACTTCTATAAAAATGTGTAGCCACACTGGGCCAGTAAAAGGGGCAGGCATCTAATTTGGACTAGGCTTTTAATTGAAGTGTTACGGTATGTAACTTTACAGATTGTGAACTCTTCTCAAGATGATCAAAACCCCCAAATTCCTACAAACAGTACAGTAGATTTGATCTTGTTGACCTCATTTCAGACCTGGATATAAAACACAGTAAAATGTTCACTCTGGAGAAGCTGGAACGAGGCATTTTCTCGACAAAGGACTGAAAAGCTTTTTAATTAAGTTAATTTAAGTCAGTTGACTTGTAATTTAGTTCACTATCAATTCAGCACTAATGGTGCAACAATATCTAAACTTGGAAATGTCATCATTAGGTAGAAATGTGCGTTGGCGAGAGAGGGGACTTGTAAGGCTCCATTACAAGTCTAACTGGAATAGCTTCATGCTTTTTGTTCGAAGAAACCACCCAGCAGCTGATGTTATCAATATTCAGAGTTCCTAAGCTTTGGGTTTTGCTGCAATATATTTGGAATTAAAAAGAAAAGAAAACTTATTGACGTAGATCTCATTAGTTTAAAGGCCAGATTCAATGAAAAGTACATTCAATTTGAATTAAGCTTCTAAGTTGTGAAGTTGTTGTTCAGATGTGATTGTGGAATAGCTTCAAAGTTAACTGCATATTTCAAACCCTCACTCCCTCGTTTGCAGGAAACTGGCATTGAGGCATCATCCTGATAAAAACCCAGACAACCCAGAAGCTGCTGAGAAATTCAAAGTGATCAACAACGCCAACTCCATCCTCAGTGATGAGAACAAACGGAAGATCTACAACGAGTATGGATCCATGGGGCTCTACATGTCGGAGCAGTTTGGTAACGATGACGCCAGAGTATACGCCCTCATGTCCAAGTGCTGGTTCAAGGTGAGAGGATGTGATTTCAGAAACTAAATGTGTGCAACAGGTGAAAATTCAGAATCAGGTTTATTGCCACGGTTTTCGCATACAATGAATTAGCCTTGAGCAAATGTCTGAATAAAATTTTACTTCAGTTGTTTAGTAATTGTGTGTTAAGACGTGGAATTGAGCTTGAAGTCATGTGGAATTGTGTTTGCCAAGGATTGTCATAAATTCTTGAGAAAGTGCATTCATGTTGTTCAGTATTGTATTTTGGTAGGTGTAGTAAATGTTGGCATACAGATCACATATATTCTGAAATAAATTCCCTTCTCTTTCAGGCACTTCTTGTGTGCTGCAGTATTTTCACCTGCTGCTGCTGTTTCTGCTGCTGCTGTTTCTGCTGTGGAGCGTGCGCAACGTCAAAAGAAGGACAAGATTTCACTCATATGGACCCCGAGGACCTAGAGGCAGAGATCAGAGAACAGGATGCAGGTGAGGGACTTTGTTCTTTTGGATTCACGTCAGTGTACAGAATTAAAAAAATATTTTCCTGTGAATTAAAATGACATGTTACATTTTCTAGCTAATGTCTGTTCACATCAGGAGTAAGAGTAAGTTAAACTAAAGCTAATAGCTGTTTATTTTCTGTTGGTTTAGTAATTCAAAATCTGTCTTGGTGAAATCCAGGATTGGCAGTCTAATACATAATTCAGGACAATCTGATTCAAGCCAAAACAACATCACAATGGCATAATCATTCATTTAAAATATTCTATTAGTAATATTTTACAGTGAATACTTGCTTTGTTTAAATATAAATTGAAGTGGAGGTGTTTAAGCAGCAGATGGCAACATTCAACATTGGTGGCCCTAAATAACTGGGGACAAAGTGCTTGAAATTGAACTAAAAAAATCTTTAATGAGACGTCGGTAAACTGTACACAGCATGTTCACATTTACACAGTAGTTTGTGATTATTTTACAGCAAAGCTTCATCAGTTTGTGGTTTACTAATACATTTTCATCTGGAAACAGGAGTCGTTGCATGACAAGAAAATTTCATTATTGTTAATTGGATGCATCCATTGTCCAAATTAGGAAATGCTTTTGAGGCAGTAAAATATGGGTGTAAGTACTTCTGTAGTGCCCTTTAACTGAATTAAATGTCTAATGTGATTAGTAATGGAAATAACACTTTGTTGGAAAGTGAATAAAGATGGACATTTTGGGGACAAATGTAAGTTGCAGGATTTCTGAATGGCAACTTACTTTGTGGTTTTTCAGCGTTGATGTTTGGTCAGAGAGCCCTTATAGTGAACAATGAATCCTGATGGGGATGGGAAGTATGTGTATTCACTTTCTTGCTCTAGAGTTAGATTAGGAGATCAATACTCTCACGTCTGTACCCTAAATATAAAGTTAGCTCAGGTTGGCATAATGTCTGGAAACAGGAGAAAAGATGGTCACTGCTCCTGTCCAGCTCACAGCCCCTCACAAATCCACAAATTGTTGTTTTTGAAATTTAAGTTTTTGTAAGGATTAAACAAGCAAGATATAATTCAATATAATTTATTTATAAAGCTCTAAATCATTACAGAACTTATCTCATTTTACTTTTCCTATAGAGCAGATCTAGACCATACTCTCTGTAATATTATTTACAGAGACCCGACAATTTGCACCTTGAGCAAGCAGAACAATGAAAAGCTAATTTTTAACAGGCAGAAACCTCGTGCAGAACCTAAACTCAAGAATGGGTGGACGGAAAGAAAACACATAGTAGCACAATGCAAGTTTTACATAGAGATGTAAAATAATAGTATTGTTAGTGGTAATAATACAAATATCAGTAATAATAGTAATAACAATGATAGCAATAATATTGATGAGGTGGAGGAGAAACCTTTGCTGAACATGTTCATCACTGAGCTTTGGAGGTTCTGGCAGCTGGATTTTTGTTACCTGTGGCAGGCTAGCTTATTCCTCCTATTTTCAGTCGTTATGCTAAGATAAGCTAATCAACCATCTTCATAATTAACATTCAGATATGGGAATGGTGTTGATCTTCTCCTCTAATTCTCAGAAAGAAAGTGAACAAGCATATTTCCCCAAATGTCGAACGATTCCCTTAAATGTTGTGTCTCTGTGGTCATAGCAATGTAGAGCGTCCTTTTTGTGTTTCTAGCCACGACAGTGAGTTGAGTCATTTTGTTTGTGGAAAAACATGCGTGGGTTTGCTCAGTGTTAAATTGTCTTTCACAGCAGGAGACGATGTAATAATTATTCAGCCAAGCGCTAGTGCCGCCACTGACATATCAGGTAAAGTTGTCACCTCTTCAAGTAAAGTCTTAGCTTACTGCTGCTCTGCGTTGCTTGACTTATCTGTCACAACTTGAAGTGTTTCACCGTGGAGGAGTTCATGTTTTGGCTTCTAACACCAGCGTGCACTGTGTGTTTTCCAAATCACATACTAACATTTTACTTAGTTGCATTAATACCTTCCTACAAATCCAGGATGCAACTGAAAGCAAATATTGTACTTTTTACTGCATTACATGTGACTGACAGCTTTAGTTACTAGTTTCTTTTCACCCCCTTCCTGCCCAGTGAAAACTATGTATCTCCAGATTTGGTTATGTTGAAGGTTTCTGAGCTCATGAAAAGTTGACTTCTTAATGATACGTGGTTTTCACAGGACGCTACAAACATATCACGATCTTATTAAATAAGATGCATTGCTGTAATCTAATAGTAATATACACTCACTGCCACACTGACTGCTGCACTGCGCTGCTTTACTTATCTGTCACAATTTGAAGTGTTTCACCGTGGAGGAGTTCATGTTTTGGCTTCTAAAACCACTGACCTAGAGCTGTGTATTGGACAAATCATGTACTAACATTTTACTTAACTGTATTAATACCTTTCTACAAGTCCAGGATGACCGTTATTATTTGTTCATATCTTTGCTTGCTTACACTTATCACTGTTGACAATGTTATAAATGGTATACTAAAATGCTAAATATCAAGAGCAGTGGTTCCCAATCTGGGAGTTTGGATTTGGGAGATCATTTCAGAAGTGAGTGATTTACTCATGATTTATCTGAATTAGGAAAAAGGCATATTTCTACTATACAAATGTTATCAACCTTTTTACCCGCATTTTCTCAAATATGGAAGTAGTTTTAAGCCTCTTGGTGTCCGTCAATTTAAAAAAAATGTTATAAACCATATGCATACAGTAGCGTTACTCTTTAATGCATGGTGTTAGGTTCACATCAAAATGTTTGAGAACCACTGATCTGAGTGACGTCACTTTATGGAAGCTACTAAAAACAAAAATGTGCAACAGCTATTGATTTAAGTCTTTTGTGCAGCTTATTTTATCTTAAGCTATTGTTTTGTTTCAGCAACACGAGAATCAACTATATTCTTCTTTTTTAAAAATTTTACTTTATTTTTCTAGGCTTTTATGTTCCGTTGTTTTATCTAGTAGGGCTGCAACTAACAAAGATTTTCATCAATTCATTTGTATATAATTCTTTCCATTAATTTCTTTGTCTATAAAGTTTCCACAAAATATCTTAAAATATGCCAAAGATTCACTGGTTCCAACTTTTCAACTGTATATATTTTCTGGCGTTTTAGTCCTCTGATTGTTTTGGACTTTTGATCGGACAAAATAAGACATTGATGTCACCTTGGGAAGACCATGTTTTACTACTGTCTGACATTTTATAGACTAAATTAAAAATAATCAAGAAAATATCCATCCAAAGGTATTTAATTTGCAGCTATTATTAAACAGAGAAATGCATTTATCATGTTTAGGAGCCTTCCAATGAGACACCATGAGTGGAGAGTGTAGTGGTACACAAACACTACACACACATTATATGGTAACAAATACATAGTGATAAATAAAGATAAAACAAGTGGTCCTTAAATAGTGTCTAACTTGGCGGCATTAATGGTGGATGCCGCTGTGTTTAGGGCTGCAACTAACATTCTTTTCATGAGTGATTAATTTATCATTTCTTTCCATTAATCAGGTAGTCAGTTTTGCTTGAAGTGCTGTAAAAAATGTCAGCTCATCTCAGTTTAAACTAATATTTTTTGCTCTCCATTTGAAAAACAAATCTTCTCTGTTGATATAAACAAGGTTCTTCTTTTTTTCATTTGAAGCAAGCAGCTCTGCTGCTTCTGAGAAATAAATAAAAGTATAAAAACTGTAGCTGTCTTTATTTTTTATTTTTTCACACCTCCAGGTAAAAATGTACCAATTGTGGTTCAGCCAGCCAGCAGCACCTCCGAGCGGGCTCAGTCGGCTGAGGAATGAGTGAGTGGAGAATTTCAGAGTCTGGGCTGCGTTTCATCATCAGAAGATGTATTGATCATTTTCAAAGTGGCTGATGATGAGTATAAATGTTGAATGTACTTGTTTTTCTCAGAGAATGTCGTTGAAACAGAAAATGTATTCATCTCAGAGGCTAATTTGTTTAAATGAATCAAGCAGCGATTTGATTGTGCCATAGTGTCAATGGGTTTGTCTGTGAACCATTTTCATATTTATTTATTTTTTTTACTTTTATTTTTGAATATTGGGCAGTATTTGGACTGCAGTGACAAAGCTCTGGAATAATTCTTTTTTACGTGCACTTTAATAATTAAACTTAATATTTAAAATAATACAGCTGCCGCTCTGGTCTGAGAAAATGTCTGCTCAAGGTGGCTTTTGGGTCAGAAATGTTTTAAATATTTTTTTAATGGATATTTAGATGCCAACCACTTGAGCCGCGTTTCGACCAAAAGTACCCGGGATTTTTAAGGCACCAGATCTCTTTTCAAGGAACTAAAAAGTTCATTCAGCCCACTGTTTTGTGCGTTTCCACTGTGGTCTAAAGACCTGCGAAGATTAGGCAAATTAACCAATGACATAGGCTGTAGGCCCACACGCCGTACAAAGCGATGCACAGGCATCATTGTTTGTAACCAATATCCATGAGCAAAATTTATAAATGAACATCAGATTTGATTGGAATATAATGAAAAACTATAGGCTATGCGTGACCATTAGAACAGCTTTTTTGTGTGGGAGTATAATGGAGAGACATACGATAAAGTTTGTTACACATTTAATAACAAACTGGATAAAGCCATAAAGTTCTTAAAATAACTCCAGCACAGAGAAAGCAACACAAAAATAAAATCGCGAGGTTATTTAAACATTTCCAGCCGACAAGAGCTGCAGATCATCTGCTGCACTCATCTGTGTGTGCCTGCCAGAGGAACGGGATTTTTAAGGAGATTCATTATCTGCCGTAATCGTAAATTTAGACCCTGGTCCCTTCGGTGGAAAAGCAGCGAGTTCCTCCAAAGGTTCCTAGTCCTGGCATTCCTTTGGTCGAAACACAGCTTTGGAGACTTACAAGGTGTTTACTCATTGTGCACATAGATACATATTGTAGAAGCAAAATAAAGGCATTAAATCAATTAATTGATGTAGATTTCCGTTCATATTCCTCATGTAAAGTATGTTGTGACATAATATGTTTTTTAAATGTTTGGATGTCAACTGTGTCCACTGTTGCATATTTGGCTGAAAGCCTGTAAATAGCCCAATGAGAATGAATAAAGTAACAATGGCATAACAGGAATAATTCAACATTGTGAGAGAGATGCTTTTTTAATTTCTTTCTGAAAGTTAGATGAGATTCCCATGTTGTCGACTTTCGACTCTTCACGTCATTGAACAACTCAAGTTTGTTCAAAAAGTTTAGTTAAATCACCTTGAACAAAAGACTGGCGACATGAGAGGTCCATATTTGTGTTTTGAGTACCCCCAGTATGAAGCTGGAGCCAGAAGCTAATTAGCTGAGCTCAGGGGAAAAAATCAAGCGTGACTGTCTAAAGTTAAAAATACACCTACCATCGCCCATAAAATTTGCTTCCTGGAGTTACGGTAGCTTTCAGAAAAATCCCACTACTTGTTGGAAACTGGTAATTGTGGTAACTCCTCTTTGACATGAACATGGCATTAAGAATAGCACTTAAGCCAGGTGGTGATTAGCCTAGCTTAGCATAGGGACTAGAAGCAAGGGGGGGAAAGCTAGTCTGGTTCAAAAATGAACCTCTAATGCTATCTTTCTGAAGGTTGGTGGTCACAGTGCAGTTCCGAACCTGCGTTATAGTCGAAAGACGCCCTCCACAGAAATACTGGGCAGATGGATGTCAAGAAATAGTTCCAGCATGTAATTCTCCTTAAAACCAGATCTACAGAAAGAAGAACATGTTCATTAGTGAGCTTTAGAGGTGTTGATAGGTGTATTTTTGAACTTTGGATAGAGCCAGGCTACCTATGTCCATTCTTAATGCTAAGCCAAGCTGATTGCCTCCTGGCTGCAGCTCCATACTAACATGACCGAGACACAAGAGTGGCATCAATCTTCTCATCTAACTGTTGTAAATTATGCGAATAAGTGCACTTTCCAATATATGGAACTATTTCTTGAAGAGAGACGGGTGGTACTGTTTGCTGTATCTGCACAAAAAAGTTACTTCACAGTGTGAAAACACAAGGGGGCAAATAATTTTTTGTCAGGTATTGATAAAGCTCCCACAAATCATCTATTTTGTTAAATGCTTTTCCTAACACTAAACTTGATGCTGAAACCAACAAATTATTGCTTCACTTGACTATACAAGACAACTAAGAGAGATTCATTTGTTGCCAGATTTTCCTGTTTGATCCTGGTGATGTGCTCCAGATGTGTCAAGGTCGTATTTCAAAGACATTGATCTCTCTGTGGTGTATATGACATGATATATTGCATGTATGTATCGCAATGTCACGCTCTATACAGAAATCGTTCAGAAATAATTTTTGTGTAAATTCAGAGGTGTATTTTTGATTGGAAGTTTTGTGACAAAATGAGTGTATATTAAGATAATGCCTTAAATTATGTCACCTTTCATCATGTTACATATTTTTTTATTTCTGCTGGGTGGAGGTTGGGTTTGTGTTTTAAAGGGTTTGCATTTTGTACAAATTCAACAGTATATGTGCATTATTATTAGCATTGATCTGTTTTTGTTCGGTAACCATACATACACAGATAGCCCTGTGTATGTATGTAAAGTTTAAACAATCCCAGAAATGTATTTAAATGTGCCAGAATACATTGCAGTGGGATTAAATGTTTTTTTTTTGTTTTTTTTTGTTCTTCTTCAGGTTTGAAATGTTTGATAAGAAAACTTAACCTATATATTTAGTTATATCATCACAAAATTCTCTGGTATTTTCTCATTCTTTAATTTTTTTCATGTTTTCAAACTGTTTGTTTTAAATTAAATTAAACATTAAATTAATGTTGTCTGATCAAATAAACTTGGGTGATACTGGAAATATCATAAAGTTGTCTCGTAATTTTAAGTTTGCTGTTAGTGACCAGTGGCTCTGGGCTCAGTAACCTGCCATTGGCTCCTGTTGTGCTCCACCCCTGTCAGATAACACGTTAGACCAGATTGTGAGATTCACTTAAACAGTAGTTAAACATTAGGGAATGAAGTGAACTGAACATATGGACTTATCAACAGAGTCAGAGAAACAACATCTGATTGAGACTCATTTGGAGCCTTTAAGATGGTATGTTGTAATTTTTTTATTATCTCATATGTGTCAGCACAGATGGTTTTTAATTTACTAATATACATATTTAATCATTTTCTAACTTTTGTTTTTTAAAGATAATTTGTTAGTTTTTGTCTCCTCTCAGGACGAGTTCTCCTGGTGAAAATGATTCAGACTCGCCATCAGATTTTAGTGAAGATGCCTCCAGTGTGGAAGGCCTGGGGCAGCCTGACTGGCTCTGCCAGGAGACGAATGTGATGTTAAGGGCTGAAAGTGACGCCAGATGTTTGGCCAGAAGGAAGCTTCTCATCGCCTGCGCTGTCAGTCTTGTTTTCATGACCGGAGAGGTGATTGGTGAGATGAAAAACTGATTTCAGCTGTCATAAATTTATCAAATACTAGCTAGACAATGAAAAGGGATCCTGTTTGGTGTTTGTAATGTGCTTTAGGAAAAAGTCACAGTGATGGAAAGTAACTTAACTACTTTTAACTACTGAACTTGTAGGCCTACTGTACATATTGAACTTTTTACTCCATTAACTTTATCTGAGAGCTATATATATATATTTTCTTGCTACTTTGCATCTAAAGAAAAAAGTAAGATATGATCACTCCTATAGATGACACTACCAAAGTAATTTTTTTAAAATTTGACCAGGTGCAATACATAGATACTATATGTACATATGTATGGCTGCTGGTGTATGAATGTATGTGAATATTAGTTTCCGTTCGAGCTCAGTGTATGAATGTTTGTGAAAGTAACGTACTGTATTGTAAAAGCGCTTTGAGTGGTCGGAAGACTATAAATACAGACCATTTACCGTATGTTTTCAGCTTTGTGAAGATGCATGGTATGGAAAATTGTAATCTGAAGAGTAATTAAAGATGTCAGACAAATGTAGTAGAGTGAAAACCACCATACTTGCCTCTGAGTAGAAGTGTAAAGTAAAATGGAAATACTAATGCAAGTACCTCAAATTTGTACTTGTGCAAGTACAATACAATGGTCAAACTGAGGCAAAAAATGTCTGAAATCTCTTATTAGCTAAAAAGGACTTGTTTTGAAAATATAAACTCAGTTTCATCTTATTGGACCACTTGAATATAGTAATACAACCCCCCCCCACACACACACACACATTCACACTGATACATACCATCTTCTGTTGACAGTCTGCAGGGATTTCTTCTCTCCGCAGGTGGATACGCAGCTGGCAGTCTGGCCATCATGACAGATGCAGCACATCTTCTGACTGATTTTGGCAGCATCATGATCAGCATCTTCTCTCTGTGGCTGTCATCCAGGCCTCAGACACACGACATGACCTTTGGGTGGCATCGAGCAGGTGAGATTGGGGAGTTGAGCAACCCAGGGGAGTTTGAATCTGCTGTTTTAAACCAACAAATGCGTGTCGGGAATTTCATAAGCTGATTCAAGTATCTTTACACTCAGTATATTTAAATTTGACTATTTTAATGCCTACAAAAATAAAGTAGTCAGTATTTCCCAGTGTAGAGAAGGGGTTGAAACATAAAATTTAGACCTTTTGTGTTGAAAAATGTACTTTACAGCTGGTTCAATAAATACTGTGATGTTAGGATTTCTTTGATTTGAAATATTTGAGTTTTTGCTGAATGAAGCTTTTTTTCAAGCCTCTTAATAATTTCCTTTACAGACCACAGCTCTTTCACAGTTTCCTGTTTATTTGATATTAAAGGTGACTTTGCCATCTTATAACTGTACTGCTTCCTAAAACGTATTAATATTTTTGTGGTCACTGAGCTTCTAGATAGTTAAACCTAATACACTTATTATAAATAAATTATTTCATCATTTTCAATCAACTAGACTACAAAATCTGCTTTACGACAACTGTATCATGAATAAAAGTATTTGCCCTATACCACATTTAAATTAATTAATTCTATATAATGTATAATATTTATGTGTGTAGTATGACTCTCTCACTTGTTGTGTTAACCAGAGATTCTGGGCATGTTGCTGTCAGTCATGTCCATCTGGGCTTTGACAGCAATGTTGGTCATATCAGCCGTTCAGAGGATCACTGACGGAGACTACGACATCGACAGTCAGATCATGCTGATAACTTCAGGTTGCGCTGTGGCGGTCAATGTCCTGTGAGTACCATGAGCTCACCATCAGGATTATTTTGTTTAGAGGGTGGTCAGCAGCAGTCAGACGCTGTTCTAAAACTAATTATGACCTTCTTTTTTTTTTAAGGATGGTCCTGATTCTCCATCAGTCTGGGGCCTCACATGGCCACAGTCACGGCTTTCCCGCCAGCCAGCTGCAGAAGGACAAACGTTGGGGGCATGGCCACCACCATCACAGCCACGGCAACGCAAGTGTAAAGGCAGCTTTCGTCCACGTGGTGGGAGATCTGTGCAAAGTGTCGGAGTCCTGCTGGCTGCCACC